TTAAAAAAGCAGAGTCAAAACCGGTTTTTTTCAGTGTGCTTTTCAGCATAGTTCAGAAAAATGTCTGCTTTCCAGATGGACTTGATGATGGAGAGCGAGCACAGCGGGGGCAATGAGGCTGCGCGTTACCCTGACTGAGGTCTTCCTCCCTCGCTTTGAAGTAAGCACCAAATACTGCAAGTTCTGGCTGCTCTTGGCCGCATTCTGGATTTTGGCATGAAGTCCACGTTTGCAAAACTAGCTAGGTGTTGAGGATGCAGATTTCTGGTCTTGAATCTGTTCCGGCAGAGGACCACAGGAACAAGACAGTAAATCACAAATTGAGCTTACTGGAATTAGGTGTTTGAATTATTTAGGTGCAGTGAGACTACAAACAGTCATTCTGGTTGATTTAAAAATGGTTATTTTAATGAGAGAAAACTCTGTTAGACTGCAGATGAGTGGCTGATGACCCAAGATGAATGTCAGCATCAGGATGGAGGATGCGCCCAGAAGATATGCCCTATCATGGGCTGCTGTTAGCTACACCTTAGCAGGTCTCTGCCTATTCTGCTACAGTGATCAAGTACTTTTCATGTTTGTGTTTGCTCATCGGATGGGCCTTCTTGCTCATTTTATATCTACGAGTCCATCTCTGTTCAAATAAAAGGCATATATCTGCTTGAGATATTTGATTTGTTTTGCGTGGGAGCCAAACATCAGTGATAAGGATAGCAAACATAACGCACCAGAGCAGGAAAAGAGTGGTACCTGACCACGTGTCCAGAACTATAGGCATTTATGTAGAAATACTCTGGTAAATACAGGTATCTAAAAAATGAGCTACTGTCTAATGGGAAAAAAATAACAGCTAAGCCAAATGTCTGTAGGCAGAGGACTGGAAATAGGAGGTGGCAACACCTTTTTCAGCATTATCTCACCTCCACCTGCAGACAGATGAGAAGTAGCATTCTTGTTGCTGGTTCCATCCGCTTTGGCAGAAGGCTATTTTTCATTTTGGGGAAGAAAAATAAATTGCAAGTTGGGTGCCCTCCTTCCTGTTATCATGAGATTCGTAGAAAGCCAAAGCAAAGCAAAGAACAAAACCACCTCCAAAACAGAACTGCGGTTACTGGCAATGATTGTGATCCTGGCACATGAACGTCTCTAGGTTTGCTGTATATCTCGCGGTCCATTCACACAAACAAAACTTTTGGTCTTTCAAAGAAAGAAGAAACTGCAGTAAATAAAATTGAGGGCCACAAAACTAGTCGGTTACTAACAGTCTTTGTTTTTTGAGAGATGGCTTTGAAAAGGACTTACTTTCCAAAAGTGCTCTGGCAGTTGTTCCTATGACGGTATTTCAAATTTGTTGCTCAAAAGTCTCATGCAATCTTAGTGCATTTTGGTGCACATGTGTAACTTCTAGTAGGAACAGCAGTCCCAGTGAAATATGAATAGCTTTCCCTTCGATTTCTGAATGCTTTCCGCTCTCCTGCAATCTCCTTCAAGTGCAAACCACTTGAACATAGAGGTGAAAGGGTGGGGTGTTCTCTGATAAAGGAGATGTTACTGTAAAACCTGTGGCTCAGAAATTCCGTAAGAGCTATGGCTCTACCGTGACATCTCGTCATCCTTACTGGTTATGTTGTCTCCAGCGTAAAAGAGCACACAGCACAAAACGAAGCCTGGCCGTACACAAACAGAAGTTGGTTAAATAGCTACCCCTGAAATTATTTCTCCGGTGGGAGTCTGAGAATGAAGTAATCCACTTGGTATCTACTCTGCCACTTTGCACAGCAAGGTATGATGGCATATTTAAAAACGATCCATCCTTTTTTCCCAGGTTAATTACTCTTGGAATGACTGTCCTTTGGTCCCCCACATCTGAAATAACACTAGTTACCCTCTGTAACTTCAGATATAGATGTGTGTGTCTTAAAACGCAATTGGTACGTTCCTTTCTGCAATACCACGACGACTTCATTCAAAGTGTACTCAGCACAGTATAGAAGAGTTGAGTAACAGGAAGCTCGGTATAATATTTAATATTGTTAAACAAACATCAGCATTGGAGTTCAGATCTCTCTTTCAGCAGTTATATGAAATGTTGGCATGAAGTACAGGACAGACAACAGAAGATATCTCGAAATAAACATGGACCCTGTATTGCAAACTTACATATTAACTCTAGGGGACCAGTAGTGTTCTTGCTAACACTGCACAATGCTGCAGGGGAAAGTTCCAGATAGCTTTCAAGATGCAACATTACATATTGAGACTTTTTCTTGCGCTAAATTTCAGCGTAACAGAAAATCCTTTCCCCTCCCAGTGCTTAGCTGTCGTTTTCCGAAGACTGCTTTGATACAGCCCGAGAGCATTTGAAGAGCTGTTGTAAGGCGCGATTTGCTGCTACCACATTTTTTCACCACTTTGACTTGGGCAACGTTGCAGTCTGGTTTCCCTTTACAGTCACTTCATGGTTATCAACAGGACACCTAAACGTGTGTTTATATCTCACTGAACGCTCTGTTAACAGTTTGAAAGATACAAGTTCAAGACACAAGTAAATCAAACTGATGTTTGCAGGAAAGTCATATTCCATTTTTACAGTGGCTTTCCTTGGGTCAGAAGGTACTTGTCAGATTGCCCAGTTAGGTCCTCGCCTTCATTTTGTCTGAGATCTTGGAAGAAGTAGTGTTAAGCCCCTGTATCCACCATTCCACCTCTCACTACCTTTATCAACGCCAAATATGTGCAGAAGTTTCCAAACTCAGCATGCCAACATATCCAAACGTCAGTGATTTAAGGGACTGTGCAAAACAACGCTAGGTAGTCTTGAGCCATTCTGAAGGTTACAGGTTAATCAAAAAGATCCACATTTTAGTGATGGGTTCTTCTTTGACAGAGGAATACGGTCAGTAAAACCGATTACAGACTGAAGTGTTTAACCAGCTCTTTCCTGGGATTTTGTTAGGCTAAAGCAGCACCAGGTCTGAAAGGTGCAGGTTGTTCATCACAATTCCTGTCATTCTCCAGAAAGTTGGGATTTAGCTACAACGGCCTGAAAACGATCCCTATTTCCAACATTATGACAAACCCGGGGTGCTTTCTGCAAATTTGGCTTTCCCCCACCATCCTTCATCTAAGAGTTACCCAGATCACCGTCAATCCCCAAAATAGAGCCTTGTGCCTTTAAATCACTACCAAGAATGCTGGTTTTCACCTACAAAGATAGCAGGAGCAGACTTCGGAAAATGCAAAACTTTCTTGCAAAAGCAGCAGCTAGTACAAATTTCATTGTATCAAACTGTTCTGTAAAGGCATCTAGGTTTTAGGTGGTTATTCATGGAGAACAGAATGGTCTTTCTGACAGACAAGATGCATTGCCTTGACATTTTTCTAAATGAAAATTGCCTGCAAATATTTTATGCTCAGACAAGTAATTTGATTTATTTAAGACACGCTTAAAAACTCAAGTTCAGAAACAAAGTGAAGTCTTTTTTTAATTATTATTTTGACAAATTTCCAGAAAACTGAAAATTGAATTATTCATCCTACTCCTGGTAGGAATGATACGGAGTTGTGGTAAAACCGCCCACTTGAGGAAAAAAACCAAAACCGAGTAGAAAAGGGAACATTAAGGACTAAAGAAGCGTTAGAAGACCTCGCTCTAAGCTATACCGGGTGGGCACTTGCTGCCAGCAGCAGTGAGTTGCGAGGCAGAGCACGACCTCCAGCAAGGCACTGAGAATGGTTGTGTGGGTGGACATCCAGCCACCAGGGAGAGAAATTCATTAGAAGTAAATGGAAGTTATCTCCCACTGTGGAACTACGTCGCTTTGCACTCAGTAAGGATCCAACCTTACACTTGTTGCTTGGGGTTTTTTTTTTTTGAAGCCTCTCACTGAGTGTTCTGGAAAAAATAATTCCCATTTTATTCCATGTCCCTGGGCTCTGTGCAAACATCACAATTCTTCCTGTGTCTGAGCTCCTAAGCTACCGACTAATCAATAGAAAATTTTCAAAGAGGAGAGCGGTGCTTAATTAAGAGATTACTCTTGGGAGGATGTCAGTGCAAACGAGGAATTGCAAAAGTTATGAAATGACAGCTCTTGCAAATGTTTACGTATGTATTTGGCAGTTTTCTGGATCCCGGTGAATAGCAGCACCCACAGAAAACCAGAACGGGACCTAACAAATCAGGTGCTCAGATCAGCCCTTTGGCTGTTGGAGCAGCCTTCCTTTTGGCTGTTCCCCCAAGTGTACAGCCCAGACTTGGCGTGAGATGCTGTCTTACACAGTGTACAAGTGTCAGTTCCACTGAGTGACACTGATCCGCTGTCCGCATGAAATGGTTCGCTCTGGAGCTACATACATTGTGAGCTTTCATTCTCTGGGACCCGTTCCACGCTTTTACCTTCTGTTTCTTTACAAATTTGGAAGCCAGTTGAAATTGGAGCTGCTGTTTACCGCTGTCTTTGCGCTTATTACTGTATTTTACCAAACTGTATTTTTAATACTGAAGTCTAGATGAGCCATCTCATCCTTGTGCGGTGATTTAAAATCAGAATTCTTCAATTACAAACAAGTATGTGGACCGAGTCCTATCTGGGTGAATTGTTACTGTACAATTTTGAACAAATACTACCAAAAAAAAAAAAAAAGCACAGCTATAGGATTAGACTTGATGACTTTTCTGTCTGATGCCTTGAACTCCTTGTTTGTCATTTGATAAGGAAATTTACGCAAAACTTTATCTATTTGGGTGCTGGAAGGTTCAACCTTTTCAGGACAAAAAGGCCCAGAGTAACACATAATAAGCAAATAATATCAAATTCATTTTTGGCAAGGACAGTCCAAGTTTTGTAACCTTCCTCAGACCAAATGGAAATCTACAAATGCCAGCTCTATGGTTAATATTTTACAGACTCAGGTAGTAGAGGGTATATAAGCAAATGCTTTCCCTTCAATCTTCCTAGCATTTCTGATCAATTTAGCCCACCTCATAATCCGCAAGCATGAAGTGGGTAACGTTAATTTCATTTATTTTCCTCTTTAGTTCTGCTACATCCAAGAATCTGCAGAGAGTTGCTCGAGAGGCAGGTAAGAAAGGACTAATTAGTTGTCTTTGCAGTCTTGGCTATTCCAGGTTAATGACTTTAATGCCATTTCGTGAACACTTCTTGCAAGCCTGATCCAAAGAGCACAGCAAAATTGGATCAACTTGAAAAGAAACTAAATGATGAAATGGTGAGGAGGGGGGCAGAACACTCCAGACAGCTTAACTGGGAGGGTAGGTTTGGTGATGTCCCGTTGCAACGTCAGTGTAGTACGTGTGCGGATGCTGATTATTCGGAATCTGTTACTTCCCAGCACGGAGAAAGCGGATGCACTGTGCTTTTGGAAGTGCTGTCTTTTCAATGGTAGTTCATAAGCGAGCTCCTCACCAATTAAAGGCAATGGTTTTCAACATGAGTAGGTCAAAAATCCAAAAATCTACATCTCAGTCTGCGCTATAAGAAGGCTAGCCGAAAATTCCTCCTTGTGTCATTTCTCCCTGTATTATCAAACTTTAGACCTTGGCCCTGTTCTAGCTCATTCATTAGTGTGGCCATACGCCTCGGTGTCTGTTGGGAAATATCTTGTGAGAGTCTTCTCGCCAAGAGCGAGGCGTAACTACAGCCTGTATCTCTTACCATCGGGACCAAGCAAAGGGATTTGTCTGCTTTCCTTCTCATGAAGGACACAGATGATATGCACTGGGTGGAACAAGAATATCAATCTGCCAAGTTAATAATTTTGTGTTCAAAAAGAGAAAATTGTACTAATGCTTGCCCTAATCAAACTGCAGGGCCATACCTTTAGTTGTAGTGCAGACATTGTTGGTTCTGCAAAGCACATGTTCGCTAACCCTTCATAGTAGGCTACAGCAGTCATTTTGAATATTTTAATTAAGCGTGTGCTTACAAAGGCAAATAATGTATTAGAATCGTAAAAGCCATGGGCTTGGGTTCCTTCCAAAAGATTAGCATGCAGAAGAGTTAGGTACCTGCAGACAAATGGACGAGAATGGTCATCTGAGATTACAAAGAGTTCAAGGTGGTCTGAAGGAAGCTTTGGATTGAAGTTCCCGGAAAAGCAGTATCGACTACCCAGGATGGTGCCCCCGAAGGTGAGATTTTACAAGTGCTCAGCATTCGCTTGGTCTGTTTCAAAACAGGATTACTCCTTTAAAGTGCAAGAGCTGGGTGAACGCTGAACACTTCTGAAAATCTGGCCCAGGGTGCCCAGAATGTATTCTTTAAGGGGTCTAGCACAGCCGATGTGACACTGAGCATCGTTGTTCTCTTTCTTTTTCTTACTAGAGCACAAGAGTGAGATTGCCCATCGCTACAATGATTTGAAGGAAGAGACGTTTAAGGCAGTGTAAGTGAATGTTCAGCTTACATTTTCTGATTGTTTTCCATCTCTGTTGATATTGGATAAAAAGAGGAAGCTAAAACACACCGTATGAGCTAGCAAAGAGCGTATGTGTCTCACTGAAGCATGGCATTGAGTTTGCCTTCTTACTGTTAGCGTACAAAGCCTACAAATATGTTAAGGCCTGCAAAAGTCATGATGACTTTCTTGCTCTCTGGGAAAAGAACTCCCTGCAAACCTTATAAGAAAACCCATGTTCCTTTTGCGAAAAGAAAACAGGCCTGAGTTTTGATAACCTTAGGATGGAGGGGAGTTATGCTGGATTGAGGCATTACCAGAAAAAACAAACAAACAAACAAACAAACCCCACCCATGTCAAAAAACAAACCTGCGACAGGTTTTCTGAGACAACTCACTGATTTTCTTTTGAAACTGGTTTTGGGAATGGCAGAGGGCCCTGACAGGAACATAACTACTTCTGAAAGGAGGCAGCCTGAAGATCGTAATTTGTACCTCTCAGTTTATGGCATTTACGAATACGCTGGTAAAAGCAGCGGAAAACTCAAATCACAGTCTTTTCTGGTTTGTTTCTATTCTATTATTCAAGGCTTCTTTTCTTGGGAAGGAAGGTTAAAAACATTTTTCAGAAAGGAGGTGAGAAGAGGAAGGATATGGGATCAGGTTCTTCATGGTGCTCTCTTTAAGCATTTGTGCTTGTCATTCGAACAAACAATTTTGAATCTAGAAGCACCTTCAAAAATATTGGCTGTTACATTTCTTACCTCCATATTCCAAAATGTGCTTTGTCTTTCAGTACCATGATCACATTTGCCCAGTATCTCCAGAGATGTTCTTACGAGGGACTGTCTAAGCTGGTGAAGAGCGTAACCGATCTGGCACAGAAGTGTGTGGCCGATGAGACTGCTCCTGACTGCTCAAAATCACTGGTAGGCAGTGAATCCTTTGGTACTGTGTTTCCCTCATTCTGTGCAGCTACCAGAATCATCCTCGTTGAGGATTTGTATCGGCCAATGCTCAGATTTAAGTGCTGAAACAAAGAACTTGGTTTTGTCAGGTTCTGAAACTCTGCCTTTCAGAAGTGCCTAAATGATCTGTGGAGCCATATGCTGGAGCCCAAACACCACACTCGGGCACACTGACTTTAGCACGGCCTGGAAATAAGCCTTAGCATTTAGTACAAACACCCCAGCTGTAAAATACAGGCCTAATTCTGGGTATTAAAGTGGTGAAAGTGTGTGGGTTTTCACACTGGGGTGACTTGAAAAGGTAGGTGTGCTAATTAAAGAAATTACTTAGTTTAAGACCTTTTAAAAAAACTCCTCTGAGATAAGGTAACAAAACAAGTTTGCAGGTATGCAAGGTCCCTGGATGCCTAGCAAGTTCAGCCTGGCCCTTCAGAAAGTTCAGTGCTCGTGTTCTTGCGAGCTCTAACGTGTAGACCAAATGACATGACTACATTAGTTCTCCCTAAGGCTTTCCCAAACTGATCATCAAGTAGAATATCAAATCCCGCTTCAATTCATCTGAAAATTCAGTTTAGTGAGATTATAAGTAAAAGGAGATCACTGTCTTGCACAGAATATTTACTTTTTTTTTTTTTTCAGTCAAGCATTGTAACCAATTTGATATTGGACCACATAAAATAAAACTTTGTGAAATTGTGTTGAAAACAGGGGATTATTCTGATTTATGGTCTGAATCTTACCCAGCAAAAGTGTATTTACTTTTCAGTCTGGCTTTTCTTTTACAGATAAATAGAATGTGCATTACACTGTCTATAAACCATAATTCTGACCTTCAGCATCTCCCTTACAGCCCTCCATTTTCCTGGATGAAATCTGCAAAGTCGAAAAGCTCCAGGAATCATATGGTAGAATGGCTGACTGCTGTAGCAAAGCTGACCCTGAAAGAAACAAGTGTTTCCTGTCATTTAAAATTGCCCAACCAGACTTTGTTCAGCCGTACCAAAGACCAGCTTCTGATGTGATATGCAAGGAGTACCAGGACAACCGGGTGTCACTCCTGGGACAGTAAGAAAAATGGGCATTTTGTACTGTTTAAGTATTTAGTCGTGCAGAAGAGGGATCCCCAAGCTATACAGAATGTGTGGACGTGCAGGACATTTGAAGAAATTGCAAGTATTCTACCTCATAGCTGCATGTAGAAAAAAAAAGTGTGTAGTTGCACAATCATTAAATATCCAAAGCTCTGATCGCATTTTTTCATTCCATGCTAGAGCAGGTTTTTCCATTCAAAAATGGGCTTTAAGGGATCAGATTTTATAAATCTTGGGGGCCTTTTTTTTTTCCCAAAAAAAATCCCTTGAAAAACCACAGTGTTTCCAATATTGATTTAATAATTTACTTGCTCCAGCTTCCCACTACCCCTATTGTAATTGGAAAGGATGAAAAATAGAATGAAAATTGGCAATAAAAACTTGGTGAAGTGGCCATAGATTAATTTTTCCAGAGTCAAAATCAGAATTTTCAAGTATTTGATGATGCATTTTTAAAAAGCGTATGTACACCAAACTGACTGGCTGACAATCTAAGGAGTTCGTCCTTCCATCACTGCTCCTGAGTCCTGCTTTGGAAACAGGGAGATTTTAGAGAGCATTTACCATTAGTAGGCATCGTGTTCAGAAAGTAGATTACATTTCGAAACTAGAAATTAAAGTTATAGAAGCTGTAAGAGATTTAAGGCCATTTGGTATTGTCACCGGAATATGTAACTTAGGTTTTCCTTTTCCTTACAGTTTCATCTATACTATTGCAAGAAGAAACCCCTTCTTGTATGCCCCAACAATCCTCAGTCTGGCTGCTGATTACGAACACGCGCTTCAAAGCTGTTGCAAAGAGAGCGATGTTGGTGCTTGCCTGGATGAAAAGGTATATCAGATTTTTAACTGTGGATAAAAACTAAGCGACTGGTCTGCTACATAAAGGTCTCTTCTGATCTTAGCAGCAGTTCTCTTTAAAGTGAGAAGTGACGTTAAAAGGCTAATGTTAAATTACGGTTTATAATTCCAAAATTGTGCTTTCCCGTGGTGGTTTTCAGCAAGCATTTATATATGGCTTCATAGAAACTAAGATGGACAAAATAATCATATTTTGGGTTTTTTAAGTGAAGAAACAAAAGAATCAAACTGTAGATAGTTAAGCTTGCCTTTTTGTCCATTTGCTGCAAGTACTGCACAGATGCGCTGAACCCAAATAATGTGCAGCACTTGGGACAGTGGTAAAGGCACTAAGGAAAGACAGATCTCACTTGGCAGCCTAACGTGCCATTGCCACAGGTCTCTCCTCTCCTATTCTTTCTCTACTTGTTGCCCAAGAAAATGGCGGAGAAAGAGTGAGAAATGGGTAGAATCTTCGTGTAGAGAAGGGTCAGGATTAATCACGTTAACCCTATGAATTAATAGCAGATGACTTCCACATAGCTGTGCTTTTTAGAGCACTGTAGCCAAGATTTCACGTTAACCTTGAGAATGGCATAAGCCAAACTTTCCCTTCATCTCGAACTCAGTCCCAGTGACTTCTGCGTAACCACTGTGGTGCTTTGAAAGGCAACTTACGCTCCTTTGAAGCCACAGGGTTTCAATGAAATGGAAGTATCTGGTGAACAGCAGCACGTTCGTAGCAGAATTGCACCGTGCCACAGGGTATAGTGCATAGACTAGAAGTTAAATGCCGATTGTGAACTGGTTAGGACTGCCTAAGAAATTCTCAGCTGGCTTGGCTAGTCACCAGAGCTAACCAGACCAGAACCTGCTGCGTTTCTGAAGGGTTATTTTCAAATTTGCTTTTTTCTCAGTCCGTTAGATGTAATCAGTTTAATGTGACAAACTGTATCCTGTTGCTGTAGGCCATTGTCATAAAAGAAAAAGCCAAGAAAGCAAGTGTGAGGCATCAGTATACTTGTGGAATCCTCGAGAAGTTTGGCGAGAGAACTTTCCAAGCAGAGTAAGTTCCAATCACTTTTTTATAAAAAGTAAGCTTGCTAACCTAAACCTGAAACTACTCAAGAGGAACACATCACCATATATAATTCACTTCTGTATGCGAAGTTTGAAAACTGCGCTCATGGTACTTCTTAGCATACTTTTGGCTGAGGACCCCTGTCCAACAGAATGGACATCAGTGGGTCAGTCTTTCAACACTAGGCCGACAGCAATTTCTTAGCCTATTTATTTAAACGTAGAATTTAATTCCGATCAGGTTTCTGCATAAAGACTGGACGCAAAGGGGAACCTGTGTATTCCACGCCGATAGTGAGTACTAGTAAAAAGATCAGCCTTGAGAGTTAGAGAGAAATGAAACCGTCTCTAGAACCAGTCCAGGAGATGCAGAGTTAACTGATGGAGCATCACGCAGAACCAGAGATTGCAGTGGGTTTAATCTACATTTTTGCCAAAGCTGTGCCCTGTTCAGATGCCTACAGCTTTTAGCAATAGGCACATCCGTAATCAGCAAACTGAGTTTCTAGTTTGAACCTCAAAGCAATCAAAGAGTCAAATTTGGCAGAATGACAGTTGTAGTCAGAGGCGCGTTTTTAAGATTAAGAAAGACTTTTGCAGTTAACGGGTGGATCACCTGCCTAAGCAGAGAGAACTGCTTTTATTCTGTGGCTAGTCTAACGCGCTAACATGGACGAGGATTACCTTTCTAGATATCGTCAGCTTTGATTTAAAGGTTTAATTAGGGCTACATACATCTGTGCTAAGTAATCTAGAGATGCTTTACAGTCACCTAAGAGCAACGGGGAATTCTAGGGTGTGATTCTGAGACAGACAGCTCAGACAGAAAAGAAGAATGACAAACTTGTTTCTATTTTAAAGGAGCACTGGGTTACTGGTGCAGATGTCGGTGCCCTTTTTTTCTAGCCACCAGAAATCAGATGAGAAGAATGAATGTTTACTTGAAACAGTGCTGATCTACAGTATCCTAAGTGTTGGTGACTTGCAAGGTTTCTGTTCAATGCGGAGCTTTAAAACAAGTGTGTTTTTCTTCTTTTCCACCTAGTAAACTTGCTCTCCTGAGCCAGAAATATCCTAAAGCTCCATTCGCAGAAGTTAGTAGAATACTACATGATATTAAGGACATCTACAAAGAGTGCTGCGATGGGGACATGGTAGAGTGCATGGATGACAGGGTAAGCTAAGTATTTTTCAAAAATGTTTACGTACTTGAAAAATGTTTAGGAGGATGATAATTTTTGCAGCTATTCATTCACAGTCCAGGGAACTTGTACGCAACACTGCCAGAAGTTTCCTCAGCCGCTGAAAAACTTGTGGCCACCTCAGCTGACTGTTACTGGAACAAGGTTTTGGACCAGTTCCGGATCTGGCCCTTTATGATTATGAGGGCAAGGAACTGTTACTTACACTATTACGTGTGCGCTTGGTTGAAATCAAAACGTTTATCAGGGAGATTGTTTGATGGTATTTATTCACTTCAACTCAATCATAAACAAAGCAAAAGAACGCAGCGGCAAAAAGGCCACCGTTTTTTTGCTGTCCTGTTGTGCGTACTGCCGTTAATCCAGCCTACCTGTAGTGCCAATGAACTCTAGCGAACAGCTGGCACACGAGGATTAGCAAAACTGTGCAATAGTGACATGATTAAAATACTGCCTGTCTGGCTGGAACTTAGGCATGCTGTTCAAGCAAGCTGGTGTCTAGCTTTATGAAGCTCTGGGGATTTTTATGTTTTATCCTCTGTCAGAGCTGGGCACCTGACAGGACTGGCAAGATCAATCAGGCATTCTTGTGACAGACCATTCAACGACTTCCCTTGGCTTTCCAGAATTTGTCTTCTCGAAGTTTCTAAGATGAGGGAGGGAATCACATTCTCTCCCACGCCTGTGAACATCGTGCTCAACACGCACAGGACGTGCCCGTCCCTCTTGATTATTTCTCTTTGTATGGACACAGCATTTCTTTAGGAAAGTGCTAAGTAAAGAGCTGACCTGAATGAAAAGGGAAGAGTCTGAAAAAGAGACAGGAGATGAATTAATCTCTCTTCAAATTATTATTTAGTAGCTTGTCTGATAATATGTTTTAATTTTACAGGCAGAGCTTATGACCTACATATGCTCTAAACCAGAAGTTTTCTCAGCTAAAATCAAACACTGCTGTGAAAAGCCAGTTGTGGAAAAAAGCCAGTGCATTATTGATGCAGAGTTTGATGACAAACCTGAAGACCTTCCTTCACTTGTTCCAAGATACATAGAAGATAAGGAAGTGTGTAAAAGTTTTGAGGCTGGCCATGACGCATTCTTGTCAGAGTAAGTAGCGCCAACAGTATGCTTGCTTGTATTTGAACATTCCTGCAAACAATCCTCTGTCTTCTCCGGACTACAGCTTTTTGGGCCCCTGGAAGAACTGTCCTCTTGGGTGTTTCAGGGGCGTCTGGAGAAAAAGAGATGAACCCCTGGGAGTCTGATGTAACTAATGTAGCTTCAACCCTAGTTGAACCCCTAGTTTCTCATTCATGCTTTGTGACTGTTTCTGTTCGGCGTTGTCCTACTTATCCAAGCTGAATTTATCAGTGCCTTTCTTTTATGTGAGGGCTTTGTGCACGCCTACAGACATGATCTGCTTCAGAAGTATTCTGTCCTGAGGAACTGTTTTGTTCCTCTCACATTTGCCCTGTTGGCAGACAACAGAATGACCAAAAAATTCTTACAAAACAACCAAACAGCATTCCAAGCTCACTGCCCACCTTACTTCATCTCATCTGAGGAACTGTCATTGTCAATTACTGTGTTGTGCACAGAGACAGCAGCGTGTTATTTGGGAGCTCTAATTCTGTCAGTTTGTGTGTCTTTCAGGTTAATTTATGAATACGCACGAAGACACCCTGAGCTCTCAACACAGCTGATTCTGAGAGTTGTCAAGGGATATGAAACAACCCTGGAAAAGTGCTGCAAAACAGACAACCCTGCCGATTGCTACGGAGGCGCTGTAGGTGCAAAGCTTTTTTTGCAGAGAACTAGAATGCTTGGTCGGTACCTGTCATGAACGAAGGAGTTGAGAAGCTCCTACAGAAAAGCAGACAGAAAGCATTTTAAGAGGCTAATCCCAGGGGAAGTTAGTGTTCTGATGGGAGACGTAGTAGTCCAAGGCCCATGAAGAGGATATAGAGTTTGCTCAGATCACTGAGAAACTTCATTGGTCACCTTACAAAATTTCAGACTAGTCTCACTTGACTGCCCGATGCCTCTGTCTCTCAGAAGTGATTATGCTTGTCCCGAAGAAGATGATTAATAGCCGGTTAGCTGAATTAGGGGCTCCACTGCCTATACCAAGTATGGCTGCTCGTGCATTATGATGGGAACCTGCGTGGCCAGCTAGCATAAAGACACCTAAACTTAGGTCTCCTAATCTTCAACTGAATCGCACCCAAGTCAGAGTACAAGTTGAGGCAGACAGCTTTGGCCAAGGGATAGAAAGAGGATGTTCCCCTCACGATTGATAATCCTAAACTTGAAAAATATTCACCCGATTTAAATAAACGAAAACCCCTAGCTGTCTAGAAAGTAAATCCTATCAGTAATTATTTTAAATTAAATTTCAAAAATCTTGCCACCTTTTTAATGGAATTTCTGTCAGAACTTAAGACCCACATGAGAATCAAATCCTCCCTACGCCATCCAGGCTATACAGAAGTGATCGGACTTGCAAAATGGGTATCTTATAGCTAATAAGATTTAGAAGAGGTCAAAAGGTGTATTTGTATGACTGTTACCAGGATGTCCTGGTAAAATAAATGTGTAATAAATTTATACTTGCTTGCAGCACGATGAATTGCAAAAACATATCCAAGAAAGTCAGGAGGTTGTAAAGACAAACTGTGATTTTCTCACTTCCCATGGCGAGCAAGACTTTCTTAAAGCGTGAGTACTTTCTGATAAATATTCTTGAGTGTAAGCAATGACGCTGGCTGCTTTGGGCACATTTATTTATATTTACTTATATATTCTTAAAGCGTGAGCAAACAGTCATTTTGATGTGACTTTTTCAGAATTCTGATCCGCTACACTAAGAAAATGCCTCAAGTATCAACAGATACCTTGATTGAAATTGGAAAGAAAATGACAGCTGTTGGTACTAAGTGCTGCCCGCTCCCTGAAGACAAACGCCTACCTTGTTCTGAGGGATATGTGAGTACATGTGTTCACTCACTCTGCTCCTCTTGGAGATTTCTTCTGTTCTCAAAAATATTGAATTCTGGTGAGGTAGTAAACTCACTATGATTTTTCATTAACCCCAAGCTAAGCATCTGCCTAGCGGAATTCAAAGCCTGTTCATTTTTAATGGATGCGAGAACCTAAATAGTTGTCTGATGGTACTTGTGAAAATTTTAGCTAAACTTTGCTCTCCCTCAGAAAGCACAAGCAAGTCGATCGTGTCTCCATCAGCTTGCATTTGGAAAAGCTAAACAGTCTCTTAAAAAAAACCCCAAAACAACAAAACCCAACATACTTGCTGATCGTAGCCCAATGGACAGACTGTTTGTAGATTAAGAAATGCCTGACTGCAGGCTCTGGAATGGGCTGCCCAGGGAAGGGGTCGAGTCCCCACCCCTGGGGGTATTTAAAAGCCAGGCAGATGAGGTGCTTAGGGACAGGATTTGGGGGTGGGATGGCAGGGGTAGGGGAACGGTTGGACTTGATGGTCTTAAAGGTCTTTTCCAACCTAAACGATTCTAAGGTTCTATGATCTTTCTTCTGTTATTGGAGAACGTGTAACTCATGTTTGTCCTTCTTTCCTTCTTTTTTCAGCTCAGCATTGTGATCCAGGATATGTGCAGGAGACAGGAGACCACGCCTGTAAATGACAATGTTTCACATTGCTGCAGCGACTCCTATTCTTACAGGAGACCATGTTTCACTGCCCTCGGAGTAGATACCAAATATGTGCCTCCACCATTTAACCCTGATATGTTCAGCTTCGATGAAAAATTGTGCACTGCTTTTTGAACGGGAATTGGGGCAGTTGAAGTAAGCTAAACAAATTAGCTTAGAATTGTAGAAAAACTTCTGAAGTGTAACACTTTAGAGGGGGGCAGAAGGAAGCTACGAACCCCCCGCCTTGTCATCTGCCTGGGACTTCACTAGTGACAGAGAGAAAACCAGATAGAACTAGGTCTGTACTGAGCTTGTCAGTGCATAACACCATGTGGTTTGGAAGAGGCTAAATAGGATATTTTCTTCAAATAAAACCAGTGTCTTAGCCAACCAGTTTCATGTACGTCCCCTGCCAGTGCAAGTCTTAAGATCTACTTAATTAAGACAGCATACAGCTCATTTCAGTAAGTTTTTTTCCCCACCTGTTATGGGGATAACAAAAAGCAAACAGGTGATTGTGGTAGACCGGGAGTTTGGAGTCACAAATAGGCACAGACTCCCCTAAACATGGCAAAAAAACCCCAAAAAAACTATCATAAATGAGCTGTACCTGCATAGAATGGCGTATTTTGAATTGGGAAAAATCGAACTACAACAGGCAGCATTAACTGTGTATCATGGTTTTGTTTTCAGATTGCTTGTCAACCTCATTAAACGCAAGCCCCAGATGACAGAAGACCAAATAAGAACAATTGCTGAGGGTTTCACTGCCATGGTAGAGAAGTGCTGCAAGCAATCAGATATTGACACGTGCTTTGGGGAAGAGGTATTTCCTATCTCCTTTAAAAAAAACCAAACAAACGAAAAAAAAACAAACCAGAAAATGTATACAGGAAACTGGAAACTCACTAGGACACCATGCACTATGAAAGCGGTTCTGCAAGCTGCTATGGTCACTTGTCCATGTGCCCTTGCAATAAATTTGCCTACAGAGCATAACATATATCTTGACTGTACAGATTATAGTCACAGATTATAGTCATTGAATAATTTCATGCAGAAATTAAATACATAAACTTCTTCCTGTGCTACAGATTCTTACAGAACTCTAAAGGATTACCAGTAAAAAGCGCATCCAGATCAATTATCAGACACACCTAGCAAATACAGTTTATTGGCAGGGGGAGTCCAGCTGATTATGTCCTATGAACAGTCACTCCATTTTTGTCAAACTCATCGACCACAAATATATTCATTCAGCATTTGCTTGTCTGTGAAATAACCACAGAAGTTTATCTGCAGCCAAATTGCTGAGCAAGCTAAAAACATGTACAGGCAGTATAAATGAAGGTTTCCAACAGCAACCTCATTATCATTTGAAGCATGGAACTGTATTGCTAATGTCCTAAACTGCTTATTGATTGAATCCTTTTCTATTTATAACCAAAGTATTGCATGGATAAATATATTAGGAAGACTTAGGAAAGAATTGTTTTGTCTCTAATTCACTCTAAAAGTTTCTTTTCTACCTTTGCAAAATTGAAAAATACCCAACATACAGGAGTGCTCAGATTCTAAGGTTAGGAAGTAGCATTAGAATTATCCTTCGAACCATAACGCAGGCCCACGTTTAAGTCTATAAAAGTTCCTGCTCAATCACTACGTACTTCCTCCCTTGGGTGTCTCTCTCACAACTGTTTGTATTCCTTTTTCTAGGGTGCAAACCTAATAGTCCAGAGCAGAGCAACATTAGGAATTGGCGTTTAACACGTGGTAGGTAACAGTAATAACGCATATCTATCTCTCTATCTCAGGTCATCTATCTGTCTACCTCTCTCTGCCCACCCTTCAACCTATTTAACTCCTTCAACTCAAAAAAGCATCTAGCTTCCCTTTAACCACCAGGCATTTGCTTTTTCTAGTGGATGGCTTACCATCTGCCATTACATAGCACACCGAAAGTTGAAGTACTACCAGTATACTACCATTTTACAAAATAATCCTTTTTATTTCTCCCATCTAGGTTGCCAGTGGGAAAAATATGAAGAAAAATACTTCTGTGTAACTTCTCCCGCCCATTACCTTTTTTCTTTTGGTATTGAATGAGTATTTCATAAATCTTCAGTGTTTTGTCAAACCACATGCTTTTCCATGAACTTTTCAATTCTATTACTTTAAAAAAAAATGAATAGTAAATAAAAGCTTTATAAATCTGCATCTGTCCTTGTCTGCTGGTGACTACCAAAAGGCAAAGCTCTGCAATGCTCCCTACACAAAATGGTTGCTCTAAGTAGTATATATGGGCAGGGGTTCCATTGGGGATTTTCTGTTGGAAAGCGTGTATGAAAGAATATGAGCGGTGATAAGACATTTAGCTAGACTTTAATACCCGGATTGCATTACAGGTTCATTTCATGCTTTACTTCAGAAATTATATTTATGTATTAAGAGAACATTGGAAGGAACTATTCAGTCTAAACAAGATGACTAGCAACGAGCTCTTATAAAAAGAAAAAGAAGATTTTTTTTTTCTTTACATCAGCCACAAATCAAGTATCTCTTAGCTTGCAAAGAGTTGTGAGAAGATCTGTTTTTAGACACTTCTTTTCATGTCTTAAGTTGTTTTTAAAACAGCTTTTGGCTTCAGAGATGTCTCTGGAAAGCCCACCATCTTTAGATCATTCCACCCTTCATCGCAGGAAGCTCCTAAGAGGGAAATTTTTCGGTTCCATGCCACCGAAGCAGCATGATTTGCTAGTACATATTTAGTTTCAGTCCATGAACACAAAAGACCCAAATGTTCTACACTTTAACAAGGACACTTGCATAACCCCGGCGTCGTTAGAAGGGCCCTTGCATAATAAGAGCAGTTTTCCTGGCCTCGAAACTCTTTGTGCCTGTAGTTCATGCACTGGGAACCTTCTCTAGAACCATAGAAGTACTCTCAGAATGAAACATTCAGAGACACTGGGTTGAAAATGTAAAAGGAAGAATCATCGGTCTTGTTATGGTTGAAAGGTTTGAACATTCGGTCACTGTAAGTCATAGTTATGCCTTGGCTTAGAAGAGTGTATGTGACCCCAAAGCATTCACAAACAGTGAAGATTTAAAGTTTTGTGAATTTGACCAGGAATCGTATGTCCGTTGCAGTTAAGCACCTTTTCCCTTAGTTTAAGGGAGCACAAACGGTCATTATAAAGACCGTTCTCGTTATCTAAGTCACCATCCAAGAAGCTGACAGTCATTCACTGCAGCTAAAACTAACCTGCTCTAGCACAGCGTAGCTGTAATTAATTAGGACAAGTTAAGCTTGTCCGAGGAAGAGGTTGGGTGAAGATCTGAGGCACAGAAATCAGCACTAGCCCCGCAAATCTATCAAGAAGCCTGGGTTTCTCATTAGATTTCCAGCTAATCCCCATGCCCTATCACATTACATTTCTAACGTGCTCTGGTTAGGTTCCTGTCACATCTGGTACGGCTTTTCAACTGCACGTTGAAGAATTCCAAATACAAAGCAGGTTAAGGATTCCATCAAGATTTAGTAATTGAAAATGTGTTTGTAATTAACACGTTTGTAATATTGCTGGCTCCAGAGAGATACAGAATTAATACATGAATGATTTCCAGGCTGCATTTATCATTTATCAATGGTGAAAAGGGTAATACATCAAGAGAGTAGAGTCGAGTTGAATATTAATATACAAAAAATACATGAAAATAATTGATTTCCCTCCACCCCATCCCCATTTCTGCAATTCAAAGGAATTCATGCATGTCACGGGGCCTTTCAGTTTGCATAAAGACAGAGCACTGCAGCCAAGCTGTAGCGCTTAAAGAAGGATCTTAAACCTCGGTGTTGATGCGGTTTTGAAAAGTACTCCTGAAGAGCTTTTGCTCACATGCTGAGCAATCTTCCTTGTACTCCTGGGGCTCTCTTTGGGGTTGTGGTTTTCCACAACTGAGATGTTTGGGTCCATCTGGGTTTCTTTGTAACTAGGTGACTTTCCTTTTTTTCCATGTAGAGTCCCAGTTGAGAAGGAAAAGGAATAGGCACACCCTGCAGCTGTAGCTAAGGCCGCGCTTGTACAAAAGCGTTCTAAGCTCCCCCTTCTTACCTGGAACATATTTAGGTTTCTGCTACCAAACCTGAACGACGGCTCCCAATTTCAGAAAGGCCAACTGTTACGGTAACTATTAACATGACACCTGTGGCTTGTGTTCATGCAGCAGCTTTTGTTAGGTTATTTCAAGAGTCTTTTTGGTTCTATTTCCCTTCTGTTGCAACTTCTAGTCCCTAGAACTCAATAAAAACTACATAAGTATTCCTGAGTACTCGAGGGGGGAAAAAAATCCCAAGACCAGCACATCAATTTTAAGGCAGACCCGAGTTTTTTGAAGGCCCTCTCCTTGCCTGCGAACCCCTGAGTTTGCAACAGCGTGCCCATCAGCCAGAGCACTGCTGTAAGCATCCAGTTCCTGCTCTGGGACAATTCGCCTGGCAGTTCTGCTGGCAGGTGACGTCCCCTGGAGAGGCTGACCTTTACTGTCTCTGTCTAGCTAAATGTACAAACGCCTTCCCTGGGAGACGGTGGCCCAAGAAACAGCACGATGCTGCGGTAATAGATACAGGACTAAACCAGCGAGACCTTGGTGGTACAGAGTATTACGAGGAGTTGCACGCCTTGTAGCCTGCTCCTGTTTGCATGCCCTGTTTGCCTTCTCTCTCCTCCACAGCACAGTATAACGAATGGATACGTAGTTGTAGTTTGTGATCTACTGTTACCCCTCAGTAATATGCAGGCTAATTTTTACCTTCTCCATTTTCACTTTTTTTTTATGCCCTTATCTCTTTCTCATGTATCCTCTCTGAAGATTAGTAAAGCCATCACCACTGAACTTCTAATACGCACAAAAAGTATTCCCGTAAATCAGGTCTTCCAATCTTTGGAGAAAACCTGATGGGAACTACACGCTCATCCTTTACAAGAAACACAATTTTGACAGCACCAACCATTAACACTAACCGGTAGAAATCTCCTCAGACTTGACTCCTCTAAATTAAGGTATTTGCTGTATGTGGCTTTACTTATGCTAAGACAGAGAAATAAACAAACACAAAATCTTTAATTGTTAATAAATGCAAAACCTACCATTGCTGGGCGATGAAGTTCTACCTGCAGGTTCTAAAGTGTTCAAAGTAACAGCCAGATCCAGGAGTTAGAAACGCCACTTTTCTCCGAGGTGATTAGAAGGCAAGGTCTCTGTTCTACTGCTCCAAGTGTGAAAGGGTAAGGGCTACATTCACTTCCTTCTGCCTTCACTCAATTCCTTCAGCTGACCACGCATCACCTGCGCCCATCAGGCTCCCCTCCCACCTGCCCCAAGCTCCTTATTTTCTTCATCCCTGAATTACTCAACCACCGTCTCCTCTCCATACCTCTGCCACACCCTGAATCATGAAGTGACGGTGGTCCTGTCTGTAAGCACAGTCTCCTCTACCTTTTAAAAGAGTGGGGGTCTGTAATGGACTTTTTAGGAGCATCCCTAAAAGTTTTTGCCATCTCTAGGTCACTGGGCTAAGTTGGATCTCTTGGTCACAGCATTTCCACGTTACTTCTTGATTTCTCATGAGCCCTCTGAGGTTGATGAAGTGTCATGACCTTTAGGCCCCGGTTGCTCTGCATTCATTACCAATATTTGGGAACTAGCATTAGCAGTGTCACTCTGGAGCATCCCTCCTAAGAAGGCTGCTAGCTGCAGCCTTAGCGTCTGGGAGCTCTGGAGCATCCCTCCTAAGAAGGCTGCTAGCTAGCTTCCTTTAACACACACGTCAGCTTTCACCTGAACATTTGGAAACATTTATCTCCAGTTCATGACAAAGCAAAGAGAAAAATGGCTGGGTAGCAAGAATGTTCTTCCAGCTCCCTGTACCAGCTTACAGGGCTGATCTCGCAGCACTCAGCCTTAGTAAAAATACAGTAGAGCGCGCCCAGGGCTTGGTAATGGGCAGTGCCTTTGGGCCAGGGAATGTTCCTGGATTTCTGAAAAATTCCTCTTGGTTACCCAAGCCCTAAGCCCTCTTCTGCTCTCAAATAAGCAGGGTGAAACCTTTTTGGCGGCATCGGATCCAAGATGCACAAGGTTCTTGAAAAGTACAAGCAAGCCCACTGGTAGATTTGGGGGTACGTTTTCTTAATGTAAATCTTTACAATCTATCTGACTGTCTAGGGCTGTTCTCTGCTAGCCCATACTAAGGGTACCGCCCTCCTTGCTGCCCAGCAGGGGATGCGCCTTTTGTGTTAATCACTTCTCTGCATGCTAGCGCTACTAAATTGCATTTCAACTAGCATAAAACTACTAGATGCCAGGGGTACCAGCATTAAAACACACAGTATTTTGCTTCGGTTGAAGCAGCAGCCCATTTGAATCTGCCAAATTTAACTGGGTGCAAAGATTGACCCAGATCCCCAAGCGCGTTCGGTCTGTTCTGAGCTTCACCAGGAACAGAAACGAAGCTCCACGGCTGGTTCTTTCAGTGCAAGTGCGTAAACCACCAGCAACATCCTAAGGAAACTGCACCTCAGCTCACGTAAAGCAACCGAAATTCTAAATTAACTCTCCAAGGATTTGCAGTCCTAAGGGAATTGTGGCAGCGGTTCTCACCTCTGCCTCAGCCATTGCTTGCTAACGCGGAACAGTATTCAACAAACGTAAAGGAGGAGCAGAACAGAGCACAATTCTAAAATTAGATCAAGTTATACTTCACATGAAGTCTTACAACCCAGTTCCTAATTTGCACCATGGGCAAGGCAAAAATTTGAATTGGCAAGGTCTTATCAGAACCGCCCCCTCTAAATCACTAACCTAATGTTTTGTCATGCTCCCTTTTCGCAAGGGAGGGTTCAGTCTTAATGGAAATTTACAGCAATTCACATTTGTACGGGTAATTGTTTGCAGACACCGGTTGACAACAGCCTACAAATGATTGCATTGCCTTCAATCTTCTTTGTTTCCAAGCTCCCCTGCGTGGTCTATA